ATGTGCAAGCAACGCCGACGATAAGGGCCTAATATCCAAAATATACGAAGAATTCATACAATTCAATAACAACAAAAACCAAATAATCTAATCAAAAAATGGGCAGAGGACCTGAACAGACACTTCTCCCTAGAGGACATACAAGTGGCCAACAAATATATGAAAAAGATGCTCAACATCACTAGCTTTAGAGAAATGCAAATCAAAACCACAATGAGATACCATCTCATACCTGTTAGAATAGCTATAATCAACAGGACAAGTGCTAACAAATGCTGGAGAGGATGCGGAGAAAAAGAAACCCTCATACACTGCTGGTGGGACTGCAAATTGGTACAGCCACTACGGAAAACAGTATGGAGGTTCCTCAAAAAACTAAGAATTGATCTACCATATGATCCAGCAATTCCTCTACTGGGTTTTTACCCCAAAGACTTGAAAACCCATATCCGAAAAGATATTTGCACACAGATGTTTGTAGCAGCATTATTCACAGTGGCCAGGATATGGAAGCAACTGAAGTGTCCTACGATAGATGATTGGATAAAGAAGCTGTGGTACATATATACAATGGACTATAGTCGTGTCGTAAGAAGAGATGAAATACTGCCATTTCCGACAACATAGATGGACCTCAAGATAATCATGCTAAATGAAATAAGCAAGACAGAAAAAAAATCACATGACATGGACAATGGACTAGTGGTTACCAGAGGGTATGAGGTGGAGGAGGAGCAGGAAGGTAGACAGGGTAAAGGGGGTCAAATATAGGGAGGTAGAGGGAGGGTGAAGTGGGTAAAGGGGATCAAATATATGGTAGCTGAAGGAAACTGGATTTTGGGTGGTAAACACAGAACAGAATATATAGATGTCAAATTATTACGTTCACCTGAAAATTACATAATTGTATTAACCAATGGTACCCTAATAAACTTAATTAAAAAAAGTTTTCAAAGGTTCTAGCATTGCCTGGGAAGTAGTAAAAGAATTAATTTATACTAGGCTCCAATCAGTCAAGGGTGAATATTGTAATCTCTAGGGTAACCACTGAAAGAATGGACAGAGAATGTAAAACTGACACATGAAAAATGAGAAAAACAGAACACTATAAAATGGAAATAGAGAAATTCACCTTTTAGACTAATTCAAATGAAGGAAAAACAGGAGAGAAAATGGAACATAATACGAAATGGGAGAAAAGAAAGCAATAGTAATATGGTGTACATAAACCCAAGAGTTTACACAATTACATTAAATGTTTTTGGAGTAAATACAAGAATTAAAAGACAGAAAATTTCAAACCAGATATTAAAAAGTACATGCTGTATATGAAAGACATACTTAAACAAATGTATAGAAAGAACGAAAGCAAATGGATTGTAAAGGAAACACCAGGAAAAATCTAATCACAAAAAGCTAGTGTAACAAATATTGTACTAATATCAGACTAAGTAAAGTTTTAAGGCAAAAAAAATTAGAATTAAAGAGATTTCACAGTTATAAAAAAAATCAATCTACCTGCTGGAACTGTAATAAAAATATTAGAAGTATATGAGAAATGTTTGTTTTGCAAAAGTGTAAAAAGCACATTCTCCTTATTGAGATAGAAAAAAGTCCATGAGTGCCATTTGACAGCACAGCCAAGACCTAATCATTCTTTACATTCATAACCCTAACCTGTTATCTTCACACTTTTCTAAAGGTTGCTCTTTCAGTCAGGATGAGCTAGGTTATGCTATAGAAATAAACAACCCCCAACTATCATGACTCTTCCAAGATAGTTTATACCTTGCTCTGACAAAGCCTGTGGCCAGTCAAGATGATTCTCTAAGACCACCATTGCCTCAGAATTCCTGGCTGATTCCATTTTGCAGCATTTTCATTTTATCATGTACTTTCACAATTGCCACAGAAGGGGAAAAAGAACTAGAGGGTGTCATACTGGCAATTACATGCTCCAGGATAGAAGTGACACATGTCACTTCTGCATACAATTCATTGGCCAGAACTAATTTACTCTGCTCAACTGAAAATGGTGCAAAGAAGTATAAATTTTCCAGGTCCCAGAAGGAGAAGAGAACTAGGCATAGATTAGGACTGGAAGTATCTACCACAGTTGGAAACTTCTGCTTAAATTTCTGAGGTCATGAATCTCCATAAGGTCATGGAGCATGATAATCCTAAAAAGTATGGGTTCTATATGTCCAGCTGCTTCATTTCAGAGATTGATCTCTTCACCATAGGAAGCACTGGCCAAGGTCCAGCACAAGGATGCAGGCTCTCAAGCATCCACTGCCTTTCAGCAGAGCTTAGCTCAGAGAGTGCCACCTGAGAGAGGAGAGAATCAGAGACAACAGGACCAAAACCCTTCACTTGGGAGCACAGAGGCAGAAAGAAAGTAATAGCCATCTTGAACATTCTCTGACCGGAGTATGCCTCTGATGCTACAAAGAATCAGCCAGGTAGCCTGAAGCTTTGGTTCCAACTGCCCTTGGCTAGTTGGAGGTGCAGGCCGACTGACCATTTGTATTGACATGATTTGACCTAGTCCATGACTGTTAAAATCTACGACGACGACATTCTGGATCAATTTCAACTGGTAAAGATAGTGGTTCACTTGGTCCTACCCTGTAGTGACCCCATTAACTCTTTCAAAACTGGATGGCCCAACTGCTTCCCCTGGCCAGGCTGATGCCAGATCCAAACAAGATCTTTTTCTAATCTTGGGATAGCAAATAGAGATTGAAAAACATTATAGGATTATAGACTCTATCATTGGTTTGTTGTATTTTAAAATTACCCTTTTTTGTTTTTTTTTCTTTTTCTTTTCTTTTTCTTTATTGATAGCAAAAACAACTTAAATTTATTTATTTTTTCAAAAAGACAGCACTGAGCTTAAAAATCAGATAGTGGTGTACAGCACCCACCTCTAATAGAAGCCTTTGATGTAGGGCTTGAGTTTGAGTGAGTGCATCCCAGGACACTTTCAAGAGCAGCTCCATCTTCTTTAAATTTCGAAAATCTCGTTCTTTCTCTCTTTGTTTACGAGAAAGTTCATCGTGGTAGTTCTGCTTGTCGATGAGAGAGTTTCGTAAATTGAGATCCAAGATCCCTCTGTTTCAGGTAAAGAGAAAAGAAAATGAAAGTGATTAGTCATCAGCTGTCCTTCATGTTTGTTAAGATAGTGAGCCTGACATATATGTACAGAACTATTCCCATGTTAGAATCAAATTATGAGTAATGCCAAAAGAAACTTTTTTTTCAAGTTGGTATAATTTAAAGCCACAGTCATAAAAACTCCAGATGGAATAGCAGCCTGGCAGAGGCAGTCTCCCAATTTCTCTGGAGTTTTACTTAATATTAGGAAGTAACGCTCTCTCAGGGACATTACCAAATTGCTCCCATTAGGAAAATGCCATAATTATCTCAGAAATACCAATCATTTGTAGAAAAAAATCCCTCAATTATAGCACACTCCAGTGATACAAATTCCCAGAGGCACACTTCAGAAAATTACAAAATACAACAGATTGTGTCCTTAAGATTTGGTCAAAGGAAATCGAGGAAAAAGGTGAGTTAAGGATGGGAAAAAACACTTCTCAATGCTTTATTTAATAATGTTTTATTAATAATAAAATTGATTAAAATTCTGTAAAATATTTATTGAAAAAATTCTATGAAAACCTAAATCTGAGATTATGTTTTGAATCCTCAAATAAAAGTTGAAGAAAAATTTAGATGATAGATACATGTATAACTCACCTTTCAGTTAGTGAAGTTGCTTCATTCTCTCTGGTTAATTCCAATAGCTTAACCAATTGGTTATATTCTCGTTCTTTTACTTCAAGTAAGGCTCGTTTGCCTTCAACTTCCTTTATTACATCCTCCTTCTCTTCCATTATAGCATTAATTTTGGTTTCAACTTTCTTTAGTGAGTCATTTAGTTCTTTGAGTTCATATTCCAAGACAATTTTTTTCTTTTCCATTTCTCTGTAGGAGATACATACATACATACATGCATGCATGCATGCATGCATACACACACACAGACGCACACGCACACGCACACAGATGCAAACTTACATATGTGTACAGACACATGTTTGCCTTATTTTGAGCCCATGAAGTCTTTACCTATTTTTACTTCCTGACCAGGCAACAGAAGAGCTAGTCATAAATTCAGTGATCTGGGGAGTGGGGTGAAGACCACAGATGAGTGAGACTTAGAGGCTATCTCCACTGAGTGCCACTGAAGGCAGGGACTTGTCTAGCCTGCCCACTTACTCCCTGGATCCCCATGGCTACTATCTCCTGGGATTCCACCCTTACCCTCACCAGCCTTCCTGAACTGACTTGAATTTCTCAACTTCGGTGCTTCTGGGCTTGGCTTTTAGGATCATTAATAGTGTCTGCTTCTTTTTTCCCTCTTCTTTTAGGATCGGTCACCAGAGCAATCATATTATTTCTCCGGAATTTTTGTATCTTCACTTGTCTTTATCTTTTTTGGTTCCTATAAGCCTTGAGAATTTCCTCAGTGACTTCTGCCTCCAAATCTCTGAATGTTTGGGATGTTACACATATGAATAAGTGACATAGAATTCCTATCATTTGGGCTTTTGGCTTTTGGCTGGCTGATGATATACACTTCTAGACCAAGAAATTCTACACACTACAAATAATTTATCCTTTGCACAGCTCTGTTAAAGTCAATTAGGGTTCTCCATAAAAATGTGATTTATAAACTAGAAAGAATATTGTCCCCAATTTAAGACATAAATGAGTGTTATGAATGATACTAATGTGCTGTACTACTTTCTTTTAATGAACTTGATATGCACAACCTAGACAGGAACAAATGCAGAAATTTCTAAAATTATAATAGTAATTTGATCTGTTCAGTGCTTAACATTCTCGTTTTAGTGTGCACACATAAATTGGGAGAGAATGGGCTGAGGAGAATTAAAAATAAAAATATTAAATCATACACTTTTTTACGTGTTGTTTTTTCTATCTCTTTTCCAATTTGTACAGGGATGGCTTGATGGTGGACCACTTCATCCTAGTAAAGAAATGGAACTATGTTAAATTATGTAATCTTGGACCAGCAGCAGTTAAGATAAGCAAATTAAATAGGAGAAAGGAACTACAATATGTAGAACTCTTATTCTGTACTATGCCGGGTGCTTTAATTATTTCATTTAATACTCACAATGACCTTACATGATAGTTATGGTTGTTACCATTTTAAAAAGTAGGTAACTGAATCTAACCAATAGTGTTGGTGCTCTCCCTAGATATCCTTTACTGGGTATACCTATCCATCAGAGATTGCAGGAACTGGCTACTAACAGTTCATGTTTGTTCTCCATAGGATTGCCACTGACTGAGCAGAGCTGCCTTGTGGGCGAATCGGGGGGTAGAGGGAAGTGGGGAGCAGGCTATAAAATGACTAATCAATTTGATAAAACAGCTCATCCCCTCTGCCTCTAAGTGAAACCACCTCTGTGGTGCTATTCATGGTCTAGAGTTCCCTGTGGGATCAGGTTGAGACTAGAGCTCTCTTAAAGCCATACCTTGGCCCAGCTTCTTCCCCAACTCTATTTTGCTTCCTTCACTCCCCTATCAGAATCTCCTCAGAGCCTTTCCTTTATGAATACTTTATTAAGCTCTGCTTCTAGGAAACTTTGACTAAGACTAAGTTTCAGAGAAGTTAAATAATTTTTCCAGTCATATATCTAGTAAGTGTCAAGGCCAAGATCAGAAGGTAACTTCGTCTAACACCACTTTCCACTATGCTCTGTGGGTTCATGGAAAGTTCAGTTTTAGCCTCAAGAATGTACATAGAGAGGGTTATAGAAAAGCCCCTTCCTGCCTGAGGATCACAGTGGACTTTGGAGCCTGGGATAACACATGCATGGAAGTCGAACATATCAGTCCTGGGGCAGATCCAAGTTTTGTGAGGCTGAAACTTGTACAATTTGGGGGGATGCTCTCTTTAAGAAAAAGAGTGAAAAATTACAAATGCTGAATTAGGTACGGGCCTTGGAAGAAGTTCATGCAAGTGAGGGTTCCTTGTAAATCTCTGCTCAGTTCCTAAGTTCCAAGTAGCAGCTGAGAACATCTTGGCTGATTACTCTAAGACTCTTAAGGAAAAAGAGGTCAAAAGTATCATAATTGTCCTCTAAGCCAATGAGTGCCAGATGTTTTTAAAATAACTCTAGGTTATTTAAATTGTTTTGAGAGTTATTATACATTTTTTAAATAAAATAAATATAAATTATCTACTAAAATGTAAAAATATGGGCCCCTGATCACTTTCATGGTAAGAGGGACGTGGAGTGGAATCAAACAGACAAGGTAAGATAATGAAAATATGCACAAGAAGTTAGAAAATTTGGTTGCTCTTCAAGGAGAGACTGTGTTTGCGATACTCATTTTTAATATTGAAAAATGCTTGGTGAAGTCTAGGGAGGCTTTTCCCTGGGCCAGGGCTCCAAATTACAATGATATTATCGAACACTCTAAAGTCTTTTGTGAATTCCCAGAGTCCAGGTTTAGTTTGATTGGGTCGGTCACAATACTGAACATTTCAGTTTGTGTCATGATACCCCTCTTTGTCAAACATGATACCCATGTATTTTTATGTCCATGCAGGCACAATGTTTGAATATTTATAAACCCTAAGTAGCACACCTTTAGGTTGACCTGATATTCCAACAATTCTTCTAGCTCCTTCTGTTCCTTTATTAATTGCTTTTGCTTAGATGTTAAATCTTCCCGTAAATTTTTGATTTCTATTTTCTTCTGCATTGTTTCCTTACGTAATTCTTCAGTGCTTTCTCTCAATATTCTCATCTTCTTCTCCATTTCCTTTAAAAGTCACGAAAATTATCAGATTACAGAAAGTCTGAGCAAGCATCTATCTAAAAATCAAATTAAAAATAATTTTACTCACTATTTTGCTTCTATTTGTTTTGAGCTTCATGAATGTTTTCTTATCAAGTTAAATACAATTTATGATTTCCGACATTTCCATAAAAGATATGACAATTGTACGGCATGTTAAACATTTTACATTAAATTCAATCTTATTTTTTTTACTAGTGCTCTTTTCTATCCTCTTGTATTTTAAATGCTTCTTTTTTCTGAGTTAATTTTTATTTCATACCAAAAAGTATTAGTGAACATTTCCAGCCTATTTTCTAGTAGCTTTGTGATTTGACAAAATCAAATGCAAATAACTTTTGAATATTTGGTTTATGGTTAACCTGAGTTACACATGAGATTAGGGAGTCTGTATTGGAATACCCAAATACCTTTGCACTCCTTAATCCCCCACTTCTCTCATTTCATGTACACTCTCCCCCAAACACCCTTTACCCCAGGCTCATAACGCACCTCTCTTTCCCATGACTGATTATTCGGGGAGTGTTTGACTTATGGGAGAGAATTCTGCCTTTTATACTCAGAAAGTCTATACATTACTAATTACTGAGTGGATGAATCCATTTAGTCTGTACTGAGCTTTCTGCATACTCCCTCCTCCACTGCTGTTGGGAGAGAGTAAAATCAGTGATCTTATGATCTGGAACTAAAATTGAAAATGCTTTTTTCCATAAAAATCTGTATTGTAAATGGTGGTTAGGTATCCTTATATAATAGTATGTATTATATATATTATAATTGTATATATATGTAATATATATTCATATATACATATGTAAATTTTATATTTTACTAAAATTATATATATTAACATATTTTACTCTATGTTAAACAGGTTTTAGTACCTTGGAATTAAAATATCAACAACATGCTTTTGAAATATAACCATTCAGAAGATAGAAGCAATGCAAAGTGTGATAAACTTTCTATTTACTTTGTATGATAAATTACAAAAAATGAACACAAATTCCTCCTATTCCTGTCTTTGTCATTCTTCGCGTCAAGAGATAGGGCCTCTTTCTCTACCTCTTGATTTTAGACTTGGCCATGTGACTTGCTTTGACCAATGAAGTATTCCAAAAATGATTTATACGGAGGCCTAAAATGTGCTTGCATGTTGGGGTTTGCCCTCTGTTGAGGCTGTTTGTCTCTTTTCTTGAAGTTGGAAACCTTTCCACCATCATGTGACATGTGGCCTTAGACCAACTAGTCTGCCAATTGGCTGACGTATGAATGAAGCATCCTAGACCACCCAGCCCTAACTGAGCCAGCTTAGACCAGAAGAATTCACAACTGTGAAAAATAAGAAATGGTGGTTGTTTTAAGCCACTATGTTTTGGGAAGGTTTGTTATGTAGGAATAGATAAGTGAGACATCCTCTTTATAAAAATTTCTTGTAATAAGCTGTTAGGAAACTATGAGGGTAATAGCTATAGCAAAATAATACTTTTAAGTGCCAACCACAGAATCCTTTTTTTCTTCTAGAAACAAAGCAGATATTGTCCAGCTAAACACAGCTTAGATAAGGTGCCAAATAGCTAAAGCTTGTAATAGATACCACCTATGTTTACTCCAAGAGTTATACAGATATTCATTTCAGCATTGCCCAGAGTTAAGATTTCTGGATCTTTTAAATGTTTCAGGGTATGGTTGTTTTGACAAATTAATATTTATCAAAAGATATGTTTGAATCCAGCTGTATTTAACAAACTCTAAACCATCTAAGACTTACTCCTGGCTTAGGAATTTTCTCGAATTCCTTTATTATGATGCTTTTTTCTTCCATTAAGCTGAAAAAAAAAATTAAAAAAGAGGTTTAACAGAGTGTTAGCTATTTCTGCAGTAATAACTTTCTCTTTTCTCTTTTCATGCCTGTTTGCCTGGCCCAGTGTCCATTCTTTATGATGATTTCAGTGACTCCCATAGACCCATTTAGATGGCATCCATTAGAGCAGTTATCACATTATAACTGCTTGGGAGCATGACCTCCCCCCTGGACTCTAGCTCCTTCTAGGCAGGCTCTGGGCTGTTTTTCCTTCTTTGTATTATTTGCAATGGACTAGTGCTTGCCTGGATTACTGCAACATCTTTCACTGGTTCCATCAAATAAGCAGATCCCATTAGCCAGCAGGTCTGAGAATCTGGAGCTAAAGATGCATGCATTCCAGGTTTTTTAAATGAAATTTTATTTGCAAAAATGTAAAATAAGATTATTCTAATAACTGTGTACCACATGGAATTTAATATAGGTTAGTTGTTTGGCCACAGGCTAAAGCTGATTTTTTTCAGAGCTTTGAATACTTACGCCTCTGCTTTAGGACCTTGCATATAAATTGATGTTATTTTACTTCCAGGCTATTGATCTTATAGCTCACCCGTGCTGCCAACAGGGGGCGGTAGTGTGCTGCCATCGTTTGGTTGTAAAGGCAACTTAGACGTCCCTGAGTTTTAAAAAGGTGACATGAAGCTCTCCCACAGTCAAGACTTATAATCTGTTCTTTAAATAAATATAAAATGATATTTACTTTAAACAAACATAAAATGACTAATTCTTTGGGGGCAGTTTTAACTAATATTTCTATTATGCCTTTTTCTTATTTTTATTAAAAAACAGATTGATTTTTTTCCTTTAAAATGTATACTTTCTATTTATAGGGAAATATAGCTGAACTTTGAACAACGCGGATTTGAACTTTGGGGTCCATGTATATGCAAATCTTTTAAAAATAATTTTCTAATTTTTAAATTATAGTTGACATAAGATAGTATATTAATTTCAGGTATAAAACATAGTGATTAAACATTTATATAACTTATAAAATGATCACACCAATAAATCTATTATTCATCTGATACCATACATATTTATTACAATATTATTAACTATATTCCTTATCCTGCAATTTGCATTCCTGTGACTATTTTGTAACTACCAATTTGTACTTATTAAGCCCTTTCCCTTTTTCACCTACTGCCCCTCAATCCCCTCCCATCTGGCAACCATCAAAATATCCTCTATATCTATGACTTTGTTTCTGTTTTGTTTATTTTGTTCCTTAGATTTCACATGTAAGTGAAGTCATATGGCATTTGCCTTCTCTGACTTACTCCACTCAGCACAATATCCTCTAGGTCCACCCATGTTGTTGGAGATAGCAAGATTTCATTCTTGCTATAATTTAAAATTATTTTTATGGCTGAGTAATATTCCATTGTATATATGATCAATCTCTTCTCTAAATTTTCATCCATTAATGAACACTCCAGGTCATCTCCATATCTTGGCAATGAACACATGGATTCACATGGACCTTCAAAGTGGCGTTTTGAGTTTCTTCGAATAAATATCCGGAAGTGGGATTACTGGGTCCCTTGTCATAGCATTTCTTTTAAAGTCTATTTTGTCTGGTATAAGTATTGCTACCCCAGCTTTCCCCCCCCCATTTCCATTTTCATGAAATATCTTTTTCTATCCCTTTACTTTCAGTCTGTGTATGTCTTTCGATCTTAAAGGAGTCTCTTGTAGGCAGCGTACGTAGAGGTCTTGTTTTCTTATCCATTCAGCTACCCTAACTTTGGATTGAAGCGTGTAATCATTTTTTCACTTGAATGGTTGGTATATATGTAGTTATTGCCATTTTATTCATATTTTTATCTTTTTTCCTTCTTTTTCTTCTTAAAGACATTCTTCTAACATTTCCTGTGATATTGGCTTGGTGTTGATAAACTCCTTTAAGCTCTTTATCTGTCCTTTAATTCTAAATGATAGCTTTGCTGGGTAGAGTAATCTTGGTTGTAGGTCTTTGCTTTTCATCATTTTGAAAATTTCATGCCAATCCTTTTTGGCCTGTAAAGTTTCTGTTGAGAAGTCAGCTGACAGTCTTATGGGAGCTCCCTTGTAGGTAGCTAACTGCATTTCTCTTGCTGCTTTTAAGATTCTTTGTCTTTAACCATGGGGAAATAATTATGATGGTCTTGATGTGGGCCTTTTTGGGTTCATCTTCTTTGGGACTCTCTGTGCTTCCTGGGCTTGTATTTAAGGTTAGAGAAGTTTCTCATCATTATTTTTTCAAATAGATTTTCAATCCCTTGCACTTTCTCTCTTCTCCTTCTGGTATACCTATGATATAAATGTTGGTATACTTGATATTGTCTTCAAGACCCCTTAAACTATCCTTGTTTTTTTGGATTCTTTTTTCTTTTTGCTGTTCTGATTGGGTGTTTTCTGTTACCTTATCTTTTAAATCACTGATTCGATCCTCGGCTTCATTTAATCTACTGTTAATTCTTTCTAAGGTATTCTTCATTTCAGTTATTGCGTTTTTCTGGTTGGTTTATGTTTTCTATTTTCGTTTTTATGTTTTCTATCTCTTTTTTAAAGTTCTCACTGCTATGTTCATTAAACATTCTTACAACCAGTGTTTTAAACTTTGCATCTGGTAGATTGCTTGTCTCCATTTTGTTTAGTTCTTTTTCTGGAGCTTTGTCCTGTTCATTTGAAACATGTTTCTTTGTTTCCCCATTTTGTCTGCCTCCTTGTGTTTGTTTCTATGTATTAGGCAGGACTGTTATGTCTCCTGGTCTTAGTAGAGTGGGCTTATGTAGTAGGTGTCCTGTGGGGTCCACTGGTGCAGTTTCCCTGGTCACCTGAACTGGATGCTGCAGATGTATACCTTGTGTGGGTTGTGCATGCCCTCCTGTTGTAGTTGAGCCTGGTTGCTTTTTGTATGTCAATGAGAAGAATTGCGCCTTGGGCTGATTGGTTGTGAGGACTGGCCAGTGACTACAGTGGAGGAATGATTGTGCTGGGGCTGACCCTATGAAGCAGGATTTACTTTAGCAGGGCTCTGGTGCCTGCCCAGTCTGCTCTTTGGGTGTGTTGTCTTCATATGCTGCTCAGGGTAGTGCTCTGGCTCATTCTGAAGCTGGGGACTGGGAGTGCTGGCCCCACAGCCTCTAGGGAAGGTCCCTGCTACAGTCCAAGTTCAGCCACAGCCTGTACCCTGCCCAGGACAACCTAACATGAGCCACCAAGTAATCATAGATGGCCGCCACCCATGCTTGGAGATGACTTGAGAGGCCAAGCTGTGCACTAAGAGTGGCTGCTGCTAGTGCTGGGCTTGGGGCATGCCAAGGCCAGATGCTGTTTGTTTAAAAATTGTGAACCTTTGAGAAATTTTAGGAAAGTCTACAGCATGAGCCAAGACAGGTTGTTCGTATGGAAAAGCCACTGGAAAGAGCTTGAGTGGGCCCACAAGGTGGGTGGTGCAGGGTTTCAGGGAATCATCAGGGCTAGGTGACCAGTGTTATCTAGATTGATGGAGATTCAGATATGGTGGCCCGCCTATGTCTGCACACTGGGCGGGTGGAGGCCTCTCCCAACACTTCTACCTGGAAGAAAGCTTCCCCTTTAGTCCTCACTCTAAAGCCAGACAATTCAGTTCCTCCTTGACTGGGAGTCCAGATGTTTTTTTCAATGAACATAGTAAATGTGTTTTCTCTTCCTAATGATTTTCTTAATAACATTTTCTTTTCTCTAGTTTACTTTATTTTTAAGAATATAATATTATATATACATAAAGTACAAAATATGTTAATCAGCTATTTATATTATCAGTAAGGCTTCCTGTCAACAGTAGGCTAACTTTTAGAGAAGTTAAAAGTTATACACAGATTTCGACTGCAAGGGGGTCAGCACCTTTACTGCTTTGTCCCACCCTGTATTGTTCAAGGATCAACTGCATATCCTTCATAATCCCATCTCATCACACCAATTGATCATTTGTATTTTATTTTTAATAACTTTAGTATTATTTTCATATATTTCTAATAGAATATTTTCAATTAATATCTTCATATTATTTTCCTTTTAATACTTTTTAATAAAATTATATCAAATGTGTATATATGATTAAACCTATTTTTACCCAACATGTAATTAAAATATTTCCCAATTGCAAAACAGACTTTATAATTAATAATTAAATAGCTTCAAAGTTTTCTAGTGAATGAGTGTACCATAATAATGTAATCCTAAATATTATCTTTTACTGAACCTACTATATGCCAGATATATGCATCATTTCTAAACTTCAGACCCTTGCTAAGTAAGTATAGTTATCTTCCTTATACAAATGACAAAACTGAGGAGTTAGCACCTTTTTCAGAGTCACATGGTCAAGGCTGAACTGACATTCAAACCCAGAGTGCTTTTCAGTATCAAGTTGCCTCTGGAATAATTATTATTTAATTATTCCATTATTTTTTAGACTTTAGATTACTTTCAAATTTTCATGTTTATGAATAATAATGTAATAAACAACTTTATGCATTGTCTTTTTTTCTTTTTGGATTCTCATTTTTGATATATATTAACTCTTAACCTTTTAAACTGACATTAACATTTAAATCTGACATTTTTAGGTTTCCTGACTAAGGGGTGATTCAATGTCAAAGGTCCTCAGGATTCTTTTCTTTTCTGCAGCAAGAGAATCCTAACTAAAACCAAGCCATCAACAGTTTTAGTTTTTAAGGACTTGTAGGTAAAGAAACAATGCAGACTGTCTATAGCTGTCACTGGAGGTATTTAAGCATAGACTGAGTGATTGCTCAGAAAAGACTCAGGTATTTCTCACGTATAGTCAGGTATGAGAACCAATTTTGGGACCAAAAGTTCTCAAACTCTGACAAGAATCAGGATCACAGAAGAAACTTGTAAAAAATTCAGATGTCATCTTCAGTGGGAAGGCTTAGAAAGAAATCAGAAATCATTAGTTTTAGTGTTAGATCTGCCTTTTAAACAAGTATCTCGGGTGCTTCTCTTTACAAAGACTATACTCTGCAAAACCTGTTTTAAGCTGGTTGTCTTCTTCGTTGCCACAGGTGGGACAGGACAGACTTTTTAGTGTAGAAGGTAAAAATCTGTTATGGCTGTGAGTTTTTCCTTACTGCTAATCCTGATGACCTGTATGCCCTTCTGTCATATTCTAACTTGCTGGAATTCCAGATGCATTGCTAAAATAATTCCTGTTTCCTTTTTACTGGATCTGTCTGTTTCTTGGTTCCAACTTTGCTCTCACTGCTGGACTAAGAATGGAAAACAACTACTAAACTCTGGGTGAGCACCAACAGGGATGACAGGGACCAGTTATGGAAGAGTAAATAATCACTAAGGCCAGGATCATGTTGGGAGAGTCCTGCACATGTGCAGCATGAGTATACCCACTCTCCACATCCACACCCATGACAGACAGCACTGACGATGGCTGTTTCCTCTGCTGACCGACACTTGTCAGATACATCAGGTTTAGCATGAGAGACAATTTATTTGCTGTCCAAATCTTAGGAATTACTAGAAAGCAGAGAAGTCAAAAAAAAGGTAAAGTGAAGGCAAGCAAAAGTCTGTAAAGAATATTGGAAAATCTCTTCAGGGAAAGTTTTTAGAAAGATAATGACTTCTTTGTTTCAAAAATTAATTCTCAACAGTATTTATTTAATTACTTTATTGTTTATTTGTAATGTATTAATTTAATTTATTTACATAGGTTACATATTTCTTGAACTACATATTTATCAAGAGATCATCAGTGAATATTAATCCCCAAACTAAAATTATGTATTGTAACAGATTTAATTTTTAACCTAGCACATAATTGTACCTACCAATAGCATTTATTGTAGAATTTATATTTTGTGAAAACATGAGAAAAGCAACCAAAATATAGAATAAATCTTTTATTTGTAGTGTATTAGAACAATATACTATTCTTAGTTGTTGCCAGTGATTCAGAAGTTCCTACAGATGTTGGGATAGAGGAGAGCTAGTTATTTGGGCTTCTATGATTTAGACCCTGAATAAAATGAGAATTTGTTGTGCCGATGTGAAAAATATCATCTGTATATCTGGATGAATAGTCTTCTCTCAGTAGCTTAATTTTTTAAAATTTTTATGTGGGGATGGAAAAATCTTTTTTCCTTGGGGAGTGTTGAGTGAATTTGTTCTGAACCATGCAATACTAAATATGTTAAGCCAATGAAATAATAGCCTATTTTTCTTTCCTGATATTTTTTCCTGATATCTTTTGGTATCACCACTATTTTTATGAAAACAAGTTTGTTAATTTTTGAGCTCTTAATAGTTAAGAATGCAAGGGAGTCTGCTTAAGCTAAAGTATCATGTATTACAAATCTCAGAATACACACTAAACATTTCTGTAAATGTGCATTTTAAACGTTTTTGTTCACAGTAGGTCACTATGCATGTCCCCTCCCTATCTCAAGTAACTATGAACAATTTGCCTGTCTATACCTAAAAGGCAAGAGTTCTTTTTTTTCTCCCTTGGCAGGAATACTTGGAAATTTTAAACAATTTAAATATCAACTGACTTATGTTCTTCTTAACCTTTCATGAAAATGTCAAGCCTTCATATTTTCAATACTAATGAACAACCACCAATTGTTTTAATTTCATTATTTTGTCAACTGAAAGAGTGCTTACAGAGCACAGAAATAGCTAGGCTTTCTTTTTATAGATATCACTGGTGAGCCTGAAACAAGTTTAGATTTAAAGACAAAAAAGAACTTAGATTTTTTTTCCCCCTGAATATAATCCTCCTGGTTAAGCTAGCCTCCTTTATCCCCCAGCTGAAAAAATAGGCTACTAAAGAGGATTCCAAACTCAGGACTTGCAAGGTCCCCAGGAAGTCACTCAAGTCATTTGCTTATCTTTCAGCTGGACTGAATTATATTCACTTGGTCAGAAATCTACCTACTCTTAAAAATAGCCAGAGGAAGTTCTGCCACCTTAAATGGTAACAAATTCTAAGAGAGATGGTTTGGCTTTGTCTCCAGTACACAGACACAGCACACAGCACACCGCAGCACAAAATCTGGATTGCAGTCACTTTGAAGTTCATCTAAATATTGTGATTTGCTGAACAAACTCTTCTACTGACTTACTGCTCACAGGAGGAATGTTAGAGGAGATTTTGGAAATAACATTTGTCCTTCTGGCAATACATTTCTACTTTAGTTCACTGAATGACATCCTTTAGGTTTGGATAAATAAGTTTTGTCTTCCAAAAGGATGTAACTTTCTTCTTTAATCCTAAGGACTAGTTTAGTTATAGGAGAATAAGGTTAAAAATGTGGTCTGTGTTCCCATATTAGAAGAATAGAGTCAGATGTGATGCTCAGCTCACATAGGCTTATTTGGAAAGTGCGCCTGGGATGCTCGCCATGCAGACACAAGATCTGGTACTGCAAAAAAGATAAGGGGCCACCATCAGGGCAGTAGAGGGCGAGAGTGTGTGTGTGTGCTAAGTCCTTATTTTGTGGAGTGTGTTCTTTAGCTGCAGCTCCCAATGCTTATGGCTTTCCTGATACATGGAAAACATAGCAGGAAACTCCTTTTCCTGAAAGCATTTCCCTGTCACCTCGGCTTTTTTTCCAGAAGTTGTGTAACCTTATTGTTCAGGGTCTGGCTGTTCTAGGGAATCGAGGAAAGTTATAAGCTTGCAATCATCTTCATGTTGCTATCTCACACTCGTTGTACCTAAAATTTCTAATTTAGTCTAATTTTTTCTAATTTTGTTTATGTCGAAACAGCTTGGTTCGTATCTGTTTTCATTGTGCTTAAGAGAATTGTGTACTTACCTATTCAATCTGTACTGATTATGGAACTCTCTTTCCTTCACTGCATTGTATTCATTTTGATACTTGAGAAGTTGTTCTCTCATTTTGGAGACCTCAGTGGAGAATGCCTCTGGAAAATTATCAGCTTGCTGCAGGTGAAACTGCTGCTGTTCTATTTGCTCAGTGAAACGTTTGGCATTCTGGAGCAGTTGGACCTCTGACTCTTGTGTGCTGGGTTCCATGAAAACAGAAATTCATATAATGAGGAGTGTATACCACCTTCAATCCCCTTAGTAGCTCCTGTGGGGGTCTAGTGAGGAGGGGAAACAGTATGTCCACAATGCACTCCTTTACTTCCATTCCTGGGTTGAATTCAATTCAGTGACACTTTTGTACCAAGTATTGCACTAGGCACTAGAGGTAGATGGAGCTCACAATCTAGTAGAGGGGGACAGATATAAATAGATAGCTGGAATACCAGGTGACAAGTGCTACCACTCGTGTCTAGATTAATATGGTGAGAGATAACAGAGAAAGGATTAAGTTGGATGAGAATGTGATAGTTGTGCTTAACTTCGAATAACAATTTTGATTTCTGTGGGTGGGGACAACAATAAGGTAAGAGTGGGTCTTCCCTTCAACTGCCCCAGTAATGTTGGCTCTCTTAGATTCTTGAATTCTCCTGAACTGATTGTAGGAAAATCTTTTCCTCCTTCATGAACTAAGAAAATATAGAAAGATTTCTAATGACACTTTACTAGGAAAGTAGGAAGAAAAATTCCCCTATAAAACGATGGACATAATTAATTTACAGATTTCTGATCCTAAATTCAATGCCTGACTAGCGCTGGACTTGAATGTCACAGTAGAGAGAGATTCGTACAACCCTAATTGTATTCTCTCATCTTGGCCCTATCTAGGGAAAGGGGTTAAGCATGTGACTAGAAGCAAATTTGAATGTACACAGAAATTAGGCTTGCTGGAATCTCCAAGATCTTCTAGAAGTCACTTAGCTATGCTGCAAGCTAGTATCAGCTCCAGCTTTACCAGACGACTTGATTCCTCTTTCTTAGAAACCTACTGCCTCATATTAGCTACTTTGCCTATTAGGAAGTAGGACCCCTGCCATTTCCTGTTTTATTTTATTATTTTTTTCTTCTTTCTTTTCCTTTTTTTACTTTTTCTTTCTTTTTTTCTCTTTCCTTCTTCTTTTCTTTTTCTTTTTTTCTTAACGTGTATAGCACCCGATATTCCTAGGTGGTCTCCCATTCAAGTACTAACCAGGCCCAACCTTGCTTAGCTTCTGAGATCAGACGAGATTAGGCGCATTGAGGGTGGCATGGCATTGACTGCCATTTCCTGTTTTAAAACCAGCAGTCTCTTTTGGTGTGTGCTCCCCACCATGTTTCCTCACCAGGAGAAATCTTTAGGTTTCACCTCATTTGCAGAGATGCCTAATGACTTGATCAAATCTGTCTCAACTGAAGCTACCAACTCTACTCATTTCCCAGGCTTTAATATATCATATGCTCAGTAATATACAGAGAACAATTTATTGGAACATAATATGTTCCAGGTACTATGTTAAGTACCAAATAGCAACAACAATAGCTACAATGATAACTTACATAATTTCCATTAATAAAAGCTGGAGTTATTTCTTACAATTCAATTTCCTTATATGCTAATATACTTTGTAAACCTAAAGTTATCTGATCTCTTTAACATGAGTCTTCAACTATGGAATTGTCAGGTATTCTCTTGAGCCACAGTGCCTGTTGTCCCTAGAAAGGAGGTGGGCAAGCTGCTTAGGGTTCCAGCCAGAACAGAAATGGTAATTCGCCCACTTGGACTTGAAAGATGGTGTCAGCAGAAGAGAATTTTACCAACTCTTATTACGTACTTTTATGGAAAACTCATTCATTTTCAGTTCAGCATTTCCAGCCAATATCTGCCCTGCTATAGCCCCAGCAGGAAGAGTAAGGTCTACTTCATCATGCCTTTCCCAACCACCAGGCAATGGGAATAGGAGAGAGCGTTGGGTGTTTGTAATGCCAAAAGAAGGAACTAAGGGGTCAAGAGGAGATAAAATGTGGATAACAGAAGGGGAGTAATAGTTTTGCAACACAACCAGGAAGTAGGAAGAAATAATGCCATAGCCTTGGTCCTGCATTGCCATCTGTCACTGGGGCCCAGAGAACTGTGCCGTGGGCCAGGCAAGGAGGAAGCAAAGCAAGCATCCTGCAAGGGCTCTAGATTAGAGCTAACCAGAGGATGAGAAATGATGCAATATTCCTTGTATCTTCAAAGAGGTTTGGAGGGATACCCCAAGAACTATATGGGCTTTTCTCTTAAGTAGTGTTGGAAAAGATTACCCTAGACTTTTTATCTAAATACTCTACATTCCTGAGTCTTGAGAACTATGTGCACACACTGGCAGGAAGGACTAATTGTGGGAAATGGAGTCTCTATTAAGGATGAGGGTGAGGATTTAACTTAGAGCTGGGGAGGAGGAGGAGGAGCCAAAGCTGAGGGCTCTGGAGGATGGTTAGGAAATTCAGTGGAGCTGAGTAAGAATGAGGTGGGATGAAAGTGAAGGATGAATAGGGATGCAGTTCTGCTCTTCTCCTAGTCATCCACTCTTGCTCTTATCCTCACCGTATCTAAATGACTGTTCAAGAAAAGAAGTAGGGGTAGTGGTTGGAGATTGGAGGAGAGAACGGCTGGGGAATGGCAGGATAGAGTTTCTATCCATTGCTGTCTTTCCTTGGCTTTTGATGAAGACTTTGTGCAAGGCTATGAAGCAGGCTGTGGGGAAAAGGAAGAAAGAAGTGCGGGAGTAGTAAGAAATAGCAGCAGAATAAGATTTCCCCTCTTTTTTTCACACTCCTTCCTCCTTGATTCCCAATGACTGATAACAGGTGCTTAGGAAACCTTGTTGAATTATTCTGTGGAAGCTTATTCTTCTGACCTGCTGCCGACTGGGCTAAGCTAAGCTAAGTAGCCTCAGGTAGGAGGAAGAGCTAAGAAGTAGAGACCAAAGTTTCAGCAGATGTAGGCTAGAGTTGTCATAGAACCTATACTTCTGAGTGGTGAAGAGAGGTGGGGAGGAGATAATTCTATAGGAGTGTCCTGTAGCAGCTAAGGTGAATGTCCCATCAAAATCCCCTTGGCCCGCTCTCATACATACCTACTGCACCTGTGTGCTTCTGCCTGAGAACTTTCTCTGGCCATAGGAGCTTGCTTGGCTTTTCAAAGGGCAAGCTAGACATGCCAGGAGCTCATTTTCCTAGCAGCAAACCTTAATCAATAAGGGATGGACAAATACTCCAGTTTCCTCATCCTTCAGCAGTAGGGTTCTAAGGTATATTTTATATACTCACACAGAAGGTACTCAGTGAGACTGAGCCCCAGTTGCCCACAATGTTAACTTGAAGATTAACACATCCCCAGCAGGATTCCCCTCTTCCCTGTCTCACTTCTCCACTCTTTCATGATAATTTCTGGTGTCACCTCTCACACTTGAACTCAAATCCTTGCCTCAGAATTGGCTTTTGGGGGGATGCAAAATAAGACAGGTCTCATCACAAGTAAGAAACATAAATATGATAAAAGATATAGTCACATGGGTAAATAGCATACCTTACAACAGTATCATGCAGCAAAGTGTACTTGGCTTTTAATTCTGCCATTCTGGTTCCAGGAAGTTTTCCCATAGCATGTAACTAGCAAAGAGAACACAACATCACTCTCTTTATGCTTTAAGCAGAAGTTACACGGATATATAGTCATCTTATAAAATCTTTCAGTTAAACAGTAGAGAGAAAACATATGAGGCAATTTGGTATATTAGAAAGATGCGGAGTGTTTGGAGAAAATAGTTCTCGTTCTATTCCGTCTCCAAGAAGCTCTGTGTCCTTAAGCAAGTCTTTTACCTGTCTAGATAGACTATGATTTTTTCACTGTAAATTGAGAGAATGAATTGAGTTAAATTCCTCCAATTCTAAAAAACATATTCCTAGTTTTAGCAAACAACCTGAATAGTGGAGATTACTAGGATGGCTATTTGTATGTTGAGAGAACTAATAATTATTGGGCATCTATTACAAGCAAGTGTTGTATATCAGTTATTTCATTCTCAAAAATGTTTTGTGAAGTAGGTATTATCTCCGTTTTAAATTAAAGTTTAGAAAAGTAAGTTGTCCAAAGTTACAGAGATATTTAAAGGCAGAGTCAGGATTGAAACCTAAGTGGTCTAGCTCCAAAATTCCAAGATCGCTCTCTATTCCACGAAGACTCTGCCTCTGCTGCCAAAGAGCACGACGATTTGTCTGGTATATAAAGCGATATTAATTATTGATTCCTTTTCATTTCTGGTAGAAGAACTTTTGCTTTACTCTCTGTGTTATGTGATAAGTAGTTAACAGACATCATAGCACAACATCAAACACTAAAGTCTGATGAGCATTTATTGTATTAGGTTTGACTTTGACTGAACTGCTAGTGAGTGACATGCTATCGAAAAACAGAACTAAAGAAAAGATTTGTTTTTCAATGCCCTGTGGTTATTACTGCCAAAATATTTCTTGAATGTATCCACTTTCCTCTCCTTTCCCTGATCCCACTAGTCTAAGTCACATCACCTGTCAGGTGGATTACTACAAAACATCCACTGCCCTCTCCCCATTACTGTTTCCACTCAGAGCCCCTATCCATTTTCTTCTCATGGAGATCTTTTTAAAAAAATCAAAGTCTTATTAAGCTGGGTGCTCAAAACCATTCAAATAGAACAGAATTCAAGGTCCTCGAAATAACTCTTAAGGTCCTTTCATGACCCTGACACCCTCCCAGCCTCTTACACAATACCCTCCTCAAGTTCATAGTACTCCAGCCACACTAGCTGTCTTTTATTTCCAAAAACGTATAAATCTTTTTCCTTCTCCAAAGCCTCTGCACTGGCCAGTCCTCACTTTATCCTCACTTCACTTAAACTTTTTCTTCATACTTCAGTTTAAATATCAATCCATAAGAAGGCCTTCTCTGACTTCTAAATCTAAGATAGATATCCACATACATCACCCTCCCCCCGAAACTGTTTTTCATAACATATCACAATAAGCAGTACTACATTTATTTATGTTTTTATAAAAAGAATGTTACTCCATAACTAGTAAATAAGCACCATGAGGAAAGAACCCAGGTTACCTTGCTCCTCACTCTATCCTCAGCCAGTGGAACCCCAGAAACAGTGTACCTGTTTGGCAAATATTTGCTGAGTGAGCAAATGAATGAATGTAATGGATAAAATACAAAGGTTTGAGTCTACACAGTGGGATTTCATGGCCTCTCTACCCAAATCAGGGTAGAAAAACATTGCTAAATGCAGTATAAAACCATCTTTTCTTTGTGAAAGTGTCTGTGATCTTTTGCAAGGGCCCTACAAGCTGGTGCCAGGCCTGGGTTCCAATCCCCAGAATGTTTATTTTTAATTTATGGGTAAAATATGGTGAACAGGATTTTTAAGACCTTTGAGGAGGTCCTACTTCTCACTATATGAAATATGTTAAAATGTATTCACATATTGCCTTAAATATAATTTATATGTAACTTTTTAAGTGTGGAGTTGCTATTGCCAGGTTGACCTAAGGTTATATTTTATAGATATTTAATTAAACACATTTATTCTGGTCCTGCAGTGTTCTTTCTGCATTTTCAAGCCAATATGTAATTTATTTCAGGTCTCAAATATTTTCATTGGTTCCTGAAAAGGGAGTAAGCCATAGACACTGTGCCTTTAAAGTCTAACAGGTAAAAAAAAAGAAAAAAAAAGCTTTGCATATGGACACTCTTAAAGGAGAAAAGTTACTAGAGAAAGGTTATACAAAAATAAGTGTAAGAGTGTGTGTTCGTATATATGTATGTGTGTACTATGAAGGCCATGTGGGGGCTAACCTTGTAAGTGGCCATGTGGGGGCTAGCCTTGTAAGTAGCCAACAAGTTAGCTATTGGAGGTAAGACATTGGGGGAGATAATTCTGGACTCATATTTTTAAAAACACATATATTATTTAGTTTTATTTTTAAGCTGAAAAAATCTCTCACCTACTGCCCTGCATGAGGGAAATAAAAGTGAATGTGACATAGGCCCTACCCTAAAATAGCTCACAGTAAGAGGAGATACACACAAAAGACATTACAGACTGCTTAAATCCCACTCAGTAGTTTTATTGTTAGTAAATAACTACATTTGACATTTTGTAATTTTCTTTATACTGTAAGTTAAAGCAAATAAGTGAAATTATAAATTATGGATCACTTCGAGGGGCTAGAACTTCTAGGATGGTGGTGTGAAGAGCCTGATGAATTCCTCGTTTTCAAAGAAATATTGATTACACTGGTCAAAATTATCTAAGACTACCATTTAAAGTCTCTGGATATTGACCTAAGGGCATCCAAGAAATTGAGCAACATTTATTCAACAAAATCTACTGAAACTCAGTAAGAACACTGGGAAACTATGGCATTTGAACCATGAGTTGCATCTATCACCCCCAGCTCCATGTTGTGGAAGAACTATTCTGGCCAGGTTTGGCAGCAAGTGAAGAGCCCACCCATCTTCTCCACCTTCCTATTGCTGAAGATCTATTCAGGGGGGTGGGACAGCCCCAGAAAACTGCTGCACTCATCTCTCCCCACCCTCCCAGCTCTGTATTGTGAAAGAGCTTTACTAGGTGGTAGCTGCAATTGTTCTGTGGTGCTCACTCCAAGCTCCTGCTTTATAGGGAGATTCTGGGTAGGGCAACCAAGGAAGATCAGGGTCCCCTATCTCTCCCACTCCTGCTGATCAAGGTGGGGCTGAGTAAGCTGTGAAGACTTGCAGCTCTGAAGCCCTGTCTGAGGATGCTCACTTTCTGAAACAGAGTATAGAATATCCATGCCCCAGAGCATTATCAAAAACAATAGACATCACAAGGGTTAATAGTAAGTGGAGGCTAATAATAGCTTAGTGATATTGGTAGAGGCAGACGAGCAGAAGTTTAACAGAGAAATTGGGGTCCATGACAGCCAAAGAAAGCCTTGCTAAAATCACACTTGATACAGGTGGTCCAGAAGGCTGTGGAAAATCCCAAGCTGTGACCACACAGGAGTGACCAGACGAAGGTATTTCTAAGCTATCAGTCTCTGAGTTAAAGGCCAGCCAGACAGGTAAACTCCCTGAACTGTAAAAGTAGTCCCTAAACCACATACAGAATCAATGGAAAAGGATGAAAATGTTACTGGTTCAGGAGGCTTAAGCACAATTTCTGACCAATCAATGGCTAACTACTAAGCTATGTTGATACAGGGGCAATCCCCAGGAAGCCAAGCTTAAAAATTAAAACAAGATAAAAATGAAAAATGGTGTAGATGACAGAGGCTTTGTTCATCTGCTCTTATGATCACATCAAAGTTGTGACGGAAACATGGAGTGAACAGCAAGCAGTCACTGGGGTCTAGATGAACAAGCCCTACAACTAAGGAGAGAAATAAGAAATCACCCTGCAACGGGAGGAGGTCCGACAGGGGCGAGGACGCGAGGTTGCCTTTCCCAAGCAACTGAGTGAGACAGAGGCTGCGGCAGCCGGCAGCTGCAGATATTCCACTTAAAGGGGCCGTGTCCCCGATGGGAGTTTCATGGTGACAGATCTGCTCACTCTGAGCACCAGTGCTGGGTTGGCTGCTCCGGGGCCACAAGGGACTTATAGGAGGATGCTGAGCTGTTGGAGCGAGGGCCAGAGGTGAGGCTTTCTCCTCAGCATAAGTGCCGGTGGTAGCCATTGTTCTTCTGTTGAGCCCACTGCCTCCCAGTGTGTGGACAGAGTGCAGCCGTAGCTGAGATGTCATCAAACTGGATAACAGGTCTCTCTTCCTAGAGGATTCCCTGAAACTCTGCCTTCCCCAAACTCTTGGCCCCACCCAAGCCACATCCAGTTGTGTCCTTGGTGAGTCCTGTGCAATTTGCTGAGCAGTGCCAAAATACACTGGTGGCAGCTGACCTCTGTTTCTGGCGTGGTTTTTTTCAGGCAACTATAAGCATAGCGTCTGTGGATTACTTGCTGAATCTTAATAGGTGGC